TTTATTCTTCTCTTTTCTGTTATCATTTCACTCATTCTCTTTAATTGTTATACTTGGCTATTTCCCTTCCTTACTCCTCTAGCTATGTAGTTCATATCTCTGCTAGATGCTCTTTTTTTTAAATGCTGCTGGTTTAAGGTTATTCCATTGCTCAGAAATCTTAATTGGCTCCCTTGTTTGCTTTTAAGATAGTTCAGTGGTCAGCAAACTGCAGCTCGGCAAACCGCAGCTTGGGAGCCACATGCGGCTCTTTGGCCCCTTGAGTGTGGCTCTTCCACAAAATACCGGCTCTTCCACAAAATACCGACTTCTGCGCATGGACCATGAAGTTTCAGTCGCATTGTATGTGCGCGCCCGCACGTGGTATTTTGTGGAAGAGCCACACTCAAGGGGCCAAAGAGCCGCATGTGACTCGCGAGCCAAGGTTTGCCAACCACAGAGACAGTTTATATGTTAGTCTGCCCTCATCTCCCATTGTTACTCAAAACAAATGACTCCTGGTTTTATGCTATACTTTTTCAATATACTTTGGTTAAATTTTCTTTCACTCTTACTAGTCTTATCTTGTCGGTTTTTTTCATCCAATCCCATCTCTTCACTAGAACTTTTTCTAAGAGAATGAGCTAAGTGTGTTTGAGATGGTTTGGTTGGAGAGTAGGAATGATAATAATGGTTAGAGATGAAGTTGAGAGGTAGCCAGATTATATTTAGACTTTGTGAATGTAAGAAATATGGTTTTGATTTTTAAGTACAACTGGAAGATATCGTTATGGAGTCTAGTGATCTGATTTACTCTTTAAAAGACTGCTCTGATTGTTTGGAGAATAGAGAAGGTAGGATTGAGATTTAAAAAAAAACAGTTTGGAGTCAGCTAATAGTCTTCTAGGGAAGGGATGAAGAGGGAAGAAGATGGTAAATAGTGAAATTTGGGATTTATTTTGATGCAAGATCAAAGTGGTCTTGCTTGATGGATTAGTTGTGAACAGCTAGGGAAAAGGAGGATTTAAAGATGTATCCTGGCTTTTTGTCTGAATAACTATGGAGATAATGGTGCCCTTTACTGAGCTGTAGGAGGAACAGGCTGTGCCTGTGTGTGTGTGTGTGTGTGTGTGTGTGTGCGCGCGCGTATGCGTGTGTTTTGGAGAGGTGGGGAAAAGAGGAGGTGTCCAAACTCAGGGTAGCTCCTTAGCGAGATACTGAAATCCAGGATTCAGTAATGTTTCAGTGGGTTTTAAAACCAGATAGAAGACATACCAGTGCATGAAAAAATGTGCTCTTAATTTATTTAACAAGTATTTATTGGGTGCCTACTCTGTGCCAAACACTAGTCCACATGCATTAGTATGCATTGGTAAGTAAAATTGACAAAAGATCCACATTTACATTCTAGCAGGAAGAGGTAGTCAGGAAGATAATAAACCTAGTTATTTTTAGTGTATTAGAGGGTGATAATGTAAGAAGAAAAAGAATTAGGGAGAAAGGAGAGGCAGGGGACAGGGCAGATTGTAATGTAGGCCAATCCATCTTGCTAATAAGAAAAGTCTTAATTTAGTTTATGTTCCCACTCCAAGAAAGAATTTAGGTTTTAAAAAGAATTAGGAAAGAGATAAATTTGTGATGTTTTTATTTTCCTTTTTAATTAAATGTGCTTCTTTGCTTGTTGATTTAGTGCTAAGTATGATAGAATAAAACCAATACTTTTTGAATGGAATGAACCTTTATTTTATAAAGCTGCATTAGAGAACAGAAAAAGCTTTTAAGGTTATTTGATTGTAATAACAATTATAAATTATATTAAAAGGCTTGATAGTTCTGAAATGGACCACAGTGAAAATGAGGACTACACAATGTCTTCACCTTTGTCGGGGAAAAAAAGTGACAAGAGAGACGACTCTGATCTTGTAAGGGTGAGCTATTTGGTTTGATTTTATCATGATTATTATTATTATCATTTTACTGTAAATAATAATTTTTACACTGAAACTACTTAACATTACTCTCAAATTTGACATGATTTTCTTTTGTTTGTTTGTTAATCCTTACCCGAGGATATTTTTCCCATTGACATTTAGAGTGAAAGAGGAGGTAGAAAAGGAGTGGGGAGAGGAAAGGGAGAGACATTTAAGAGAGAGTCATCTATGTGAGAGAGACATTTTGATTCATTGCCTCCCACACTCACCCTGACCAGGATGGGAATTGAACCTACAATCTCAGGTATGTTTCAGGATGGAATCCGAGACCCTTTGATGCACAAGCCGAGGCTCTACCATTAAGCAACACCGGCCAGGGTGACATGGTTTCCTTTTAAAGATTTTAATTACAAATTTGAGTTTATGATTATCCTCTACCATGTAATTTAAGTATATTGAGTTTCTTGTGCCTTTTGTTATTCTACTAACTAATCTTCTTTCTTCAGGTCTTGGAACTCTAACATGCTAGTCCAGTTCTTTACTCAGACTGCTGGTTTTTTTGTTTGTTTGCTTGCTTTTTTAAAAAACATAACAAATTTAGAATTAGCCTTAGAGAAAGGAAATAAAATGATGGTATTTAAAGGCTCCCTCATTTTAGTTGATTTCTTGAGCCTTTAATTACTAAATAAACTTCTATAAAGGTCGGAATTGTTACAGTTTTCATATGGTCCTTAATTAGTTTTGAAATCTTAATAGCAATGATAGCTGTTATGATAGATACAATTTATAAATGTCATTTGAAGACAAAGTTAGTAGTTTTGGTGCAGCTACAGAAGGTAGTTATATATTTCAACACAACATGATGGCCTTAATAATAGGGCATATTTTTATTTTCTAGATTAGCTCTAAACTTTTTAAGATAACTGATAGCTTTATCTGTAGCATGTGGATACTTAGCTGGTAAGGTTTATCAGAATAAGTCAGTTAGCCCAAATGAATTGTTGTTATAAAGATTAATATTTTTATTAATGATTACCATAAAATAAAAGTTAATGTGTTTTAATCTACTCAATTAATACAGGTGGAAGGTTATTAGTAAAATAATTACTTTGCTTTCTCTGAAATACAGGGATGGGCAAAAATAGGTTTACAGAAGAAGACAATAATTTATAAATAAATAATAATACAGGAATAAACTCTGTTTTGTGTACTCACAACTGTAAACCTACTTTTGCCCACCCCTGTAGTATTGCCCTGCTTGTCTTTTACTGGTTCAACATTACATAGCCAAGAACTTTTATTTTCAGTTCTTTTAAAAAGTTTCTCCAGTAATTTATTTTGCCAGATTGTTTCTCTTTCCGCTTAAAAAATTGTAATTCTAAAATTCTTACTAAACCATTACTATCTGTCTGTAAATTCTGATTTTTATGGGCTATTTAAAAATTTTGGCCAACCAGAATTAAAATTGATTGCTTAGCCATAAAGGAATGCTGTTACCTGGATTTATAGAAGAAAATCCTTGAATTGGAAAAGGTATTTGTCTTCTAATCCTACTTCTCATTTAGTGCAAAAATTCCTTCATTGTCATTTATGAGAGTTGGTCACCATGTGCTTGGAAATGCCTTAGTGGAGAGCTTATAATTTCTTTCATTTATTGGAAACATCAGCCAGGCCACCCCCATCCACATGCTGCTCTTTCTTATCCCCTCAAATTTGGGAAGCATGGTTTTGATTAATTCTTAATATTTTTGTTATTCTGTAAATCCCACATCTAATTTTACCTTAGGAAGCAATGCAAAAATACAGTCTCTATTTTTCATTGAACAGTTTTGAATTTCTGTCCTTTTGGAATCTATTTGTATAATTATAATAAAGACCTTTGGCTATCCTTTGTGCAACATTGCATTCATTTTTAAAAGTTCTAGAAACTTATTAATCTAGTTTCAACTGAAATATCCTCAGAGAGATGAGAATTATGAGACAGAAGTTTAATTTTAATATCAATAAATCATAGTGAAAGAGTACTGTCTCTCTTGCTATTCCTAGCTTCATATTGATATTAAATTTCAAAAGAATTCTCCATATATATTTATATTCAAAATTATAGTTTTGCAAGTTACATTTTCCTGCTCCTAGCCTTAGTTTTATACTCCGTTTGCTCTTAAAACAATGTAGTGCAAAATGAAAAAGAAATTAGAGAATGTAGGCCATTAGCAAACTAGATTAATTTTAATGGTATTCTCAAGAAAGCAGGCATTGGTTTCATTTTTACCACCAACCTTTTTCAGAGCATAAAGGAATAAAGCCATCCTTTCAGATCTTTGGACATCCAAGTTAATTATAGCATTTAAAATTGGAGATGACACTTTAAATTTTGTTTTAATGTATATTTCTTTTATCTTCCTATCTCTGAGTAACAACAGTTAATTTTTAATTATATAAAAGGAAAAAAGAGAGAACTCATGGGACATAAGACAGTAGTGTGGTGATTGTGGGGGTGGAGGGGAAAGAAGGCATAGAGGGGATAAATGGTGATGGAAAAATTTTTTAAAATTAAAATAAAAACTAAATATATACTAACAAATTAAAACCAATCATTTGTAGGTCATTTTTTCCTTGGAATGTAAGAATAATATAATGCTTAAAAAAATCTCTTAATATGTTATAGCATATTAATAAACAAAATAAGAAAAATGCTAAAAAGAGAATCATAGATCATGCCAAAGAAGACATAAATTTTCACAGATGAACTTTTAATAAACTAATTCCAAAAGGATAAATCCCTAACATGCTAAAAATCTTGTCTATTTAAATTAGTAGTGAATGATTTAGTCAAAGTTATTATTCTTAATGGCAAAATACTTGAAGCATTCTTATGAAAAGTCAGGAACAAAACAAGCAACCTGCTGTCACCACTATTATTTAAAATTGTACTAGAATGTTCATTTCAAGAAGACATGAAATAAAAGTAAAGGTATGACAATGAGTAAGAAGAGAAATTTATTTTTATTTTTGTAATCTTAGAAAAACTAGAGAAGTAATTGAAAAACTAAGAGTTTAGCATGGTGGCCAGGTATCTGTATATATGTATGTACATAACTAACTTCACTCTGTTGGTTTTACTTTCTTTAGGTATACACTGGGGGGAAAGTGGATTGACTTCACCCCAATAACCACTACAATAACCAAATTAGATAGAGAGATGACAGACAGATAGATCTAAATGTGATCTTAAAAAGAAATAGTGAGAGCCTTTGTGGAGAAAATATCAAAAACTGAGAAACATAGAAGACTTGAACAAAGAGAAGAAATATGCTGTTCCTTCATAGAAAAAATGAATTTAAAAAATGATGGTTTTCCCCCAGCCAGTGTAGCTCCATTGGTTGGGCATTGTCCTGAGTACCAAAGGGTTGCCAGTTCAATTCCTGGCCAAGGCACATGCATGCCCAGGTTGCTGGCCCAATCCCTGGTTGGGGGTGTGCAGGAAGAAGTTGATCAATGTTACATTCTCGTATCAATGTTTCTTCATCTCCCTTTAGCTCTCTCTAAAAATCAGTAAACTATTCCTTAAAATAAAATAAAAAATGACAATTTTTTCTAAATTAATATATAATTGGCCCAGCCTGTGTGGCTCAATGGTTGAGCATCAACCTATGAACAATTTGATTCCTGGTCAGGCCACATGCCTGGGCTGGGGGCTTAATCCCCAGTAGGGGACTTGCAGTAGGCAGCCAATCAGTGATTCTCATCATAGATGTTTCTATCTATCTCTCCTGCTCCCTTCCTCTCTGAAATCAATAAAAATATGTATTTAAATTAATATATAACTATAATTCCAGTGTGATTTTAAGTCCTCCATGTGAAAGAATAAATGGATTAAAAAAAGAGGAGTAAATCATAAGATCAACCAAACCAGACACATAGTTATGATTAATAAAATATTGTGCTGCTGTTTTAATACCCCCAAACATTACTTTTTAACACATAATAAAGAATAAAGGAAGCATTACAAATCAGTAATTTTGAAAGAATTGAATGTCTCTTTGGGGGTGGGAATAGGAAAAAGCAGTTTACAACCTCGTCTCATATCCTATTCTAAAACAAGGTAACAAATAATGTCTGACTGGGCTGCCATAACAAAATACTATAAACTGGGTAACATAAAACAATAGAAATTAATTTTCTCACATTTCTGAAAGTTAAGATCAAAGTTCTGACCAATTCAGTTCCTGGCGAGAGCTTTCTTTCGGGTTAGCAGATGGCCACCTTCTTGTTGTGTCTTTACATGATGAAGACATATACTGACAGAGAGCACTCTGTTGTTATCTCATAAGATCACTAATCCCATCATATGGGCCTCAACCCGCATGACCTCATCTCAGCTGAAGTACCTTTTAAGGGCTCTATCTCCAAATACATCACATTAGAGGTTTTGGCTTCAACCAGTGAAGTTTGTAGAGACACAATTCAGTCCATAACAAATAGTTAACAAAATTTTAAAATATGCAGAAGTGGAAAAGACTATAGATTAAAACACTAGGACTCCAGGAAAACAAATGGAAAAGGGTATAATACCAATGACATAATTAGGCAAGTTCACAAATAAGAAATGCACCAACTAATTAAACATTTTAAAATTACAGGTAGATCATTTTTGTTTTCAGTAATTTTCAAGTATGTAACTTGGTACAAACTTTGGAAGTTAACTTATTACTATAAACTTAATATATTTGTGTGTTTTATGTTGTATTTGTGTATATGGAGAGCATTATACATGTTCATACATACTATTCTTCATTGATTTCGAGAATTTTTTGTCTCTATCTGCTGGTGAATGCATAAATTCACCAAATTTAGACTAGGATTTTATTTTAAACTAGAGGCCCAGTGCATGAATTCGTGCACGGGTGGGGTCCCTTGGCCTGGCCGATGATCGGGGCTGATTGGGGCTGGCCGGCGCAGGGGAGGGACCATCGGAGGTTGGCCGGCCACGGGAGGTTGGCTGTGGGAGTGCACTGCCCCACCAGGGGTCAGCTTCTGCATTGAGAGTCTGCCCCCTGGTAGTCAGTGCACATCATAGCAACCAGTAGTTCGGTCACTTAGGCTTTTATGTATATAGATTTGAAAGTCACTGACTTGTAAAATTATTTTTGTTACCTGGGATAAAGCAGTATCTTTGATTCAGAAATGTGTTCAAAATTTAATAAATGTTTAACTTTTATATTTTGCCACTTACGTTTATAAAACAAAAACAGTCCTTTTATGATATGTAAAGCATAATATATAATGTAGGTATTTTATGTCTTACTATATACTGTGTGGTAAAATTAGAATTACTTGAATATCAAAACTGATCCATTATACTTTAATATAGCCATCTATTATTCAAGCATTGAATTAGAATGTTCTTTTTATGTGCCTTTTGTTAAAATTTATAATTTAATAAAATAGTGGTCTTGAGAGGTTTCCATTTGAGGCTTTCTAGCTTAAGTAAAAATAAATGATTACCCGCTAATCCCAGATAATTTTTTAAATTATAAAACTAATAATAAAAGCAAGTAAAGTTGTGGTTCTGATATATTTCAGAACTCTATTCTTTATTTAGGTATATTTTTATGACAAAAGTACGTAATAGATTTTTTTGTTTGTTTCATTCAAAATATGCTTACTAACACTTTTATATTTGAAATTGTGATTTTTATTCCTAGTCTGAATTGGACAAACTTAGAAGCCGGAAAAAAACATCAGCCACCGATTCAGAAGAAAAATTAGGTATGGATGACCTGACTAAGTTGGTACAAGAACAGAAACCTAAAGGCAGTCAGCGTGGACGGAAGAGAGGCCATACAACTTCAGAGTCCGATGAGCCACAATGGCCTGAGGAAAAGAGGCTCAAAGAAGATATGTTAGAAAATGAGGATGAACAGAATAGTCCACCAAAAAAAGGTAAAAGAGGCCGACCACCAAAACCTCTTGTTGGAGGAGGTACAACAAAAGAAGAACCAACAATGAAAACTTCTAAAAAAGGAAGCAAAAAAAAATCTGGACCTTCAGTAGTAGAAGAAGAGGAAGAAGAGGAAAGACAAAGTGGAAACACAGAACAGAAGTCAAAAAGCAAACAGCACCGAACTTCAAAGAGAGCACAACAGAAGTAAGTATGTGTAACTCTAAACTGCATATGTTTAGTTGCTATATTATAAATCATAACTTGATGCTATCCACATTTGGGTCTTCTCCAAAGCAGAGCAGAATCTCCTGAGACTAGTGCACTTGAATCCACACAATCCATACCACAGAAAGGACGAGGAAGACCATCAAAAACGCCATCACCATCACAACAAAAAAAAAATGTGTAAGTTGTAAATAATGTTAAATTTCCAACCAATTTCAAATTATTTTTCAGAAGTTTATAAGTTTTTAAATATACATAAAGATGCATTTAAATGCCATATATTTAGCTCCAACACACTAGGTAAGGTAAAGTTTTTATATACTTACCTAGGTGATTGATATTCCAATTAACCCTCTGGTAACTTTTGTACATTTTTACAGGTGTTAGGCAAATTTTTATGAATACCAAATAGTTTATTATTTCCAATACAGATTTTATGGTACCTAAAGAGGTGTTGATGTATTTTTAAATAATCATAACATATTGACCTGGTTGCCTTATCATTCCATACTACATTTTTTCTTCCTGTCTTTCCTCAGCAACTTTTTAAAAAAAATAGCTTTTATGCTTATGCTTTTATTCTTTGAACTATGTAGGAAAGTAATGGCATTATTTTTTTAAATTACATCCATAGAAATTATCACATGCAGATCTCAAGTTTTTGATGTTTAGATTTTGTTTGTTTTAATGAAATTAATACATCTATATCCAGATAGTTTTGGATGGTCACACAGTCACATGTTTATCTGAGAGTTACAATAACAGATTTGTATCCAAAATTTTAAAGTGATAGGAGTATTTATGCTATAATTTGTAAATTTTGCACTCTTTCTTCTCAGTTATTTAAGTGGAAATAGAATGGCATGTCTTTGTTTAGTGAGGAAATCCCCAGTTTTTCTCAGAGTAATTCTATTATATAACTACATCAGTGGCTTGACTTTTCAGAGTTGCCAGCACACTTTGGTTAAATAGTTATCTTAGAAGTTTTTCCTATTCCTGTGTATTCCACAGGAAGAGGAAAAGTTTCCTGAGTGTCTAGCCAGTACTTCATGCCTTCTTCCATTTGATTTTTCCCTCAGGTAAAAAGTAAAGGTAAGTACATGTTCTTGGCAGCTTCATTATGTTTTGATTCAAGCATGGAAAAGCATTGGTATTAACAAAGGAATTCTTAAGTAATGTTAAATTTCCATGATTAATTTTATAACAAGGAAATGATGGCTCATAACTTTAGTTATATTTGGGCTTAAATTATTATCATGTTCTCTCATAAAACTAAGTTCTCACATGAATGTTCTAAAACAAACAAGTATTTATTTTTAAAAATCAATACAGTCTGGTTGGCATGGCTCAGTGGTTGAGCATTGACCTATGAACCAGGAGGTCATGGTTCGATTCCTTATCAGAGCACATGCCCAGTGGGCTCAGTCCCGTGCGGGGTATGCAGAAGGCAGCCAATCAATGATTCTGTCTCTCTCTCCCTCTCCCTTTCTGAAATCAATAAAAATATATTTTAAAAATTACTAAAAAGAATGTCAGTTTCCAAAAAAAAAAAAATCAATACAGCCCTGGTTGGTGTACTCAGTTGGTTGGAGCACTGTCCCATACATCAGAGGGTATCGGGTTCTATTCCTGGTCGGGACACATACCTGGGTTGTGGGTTAATCCCCAGCCCTGGTCAGGGTGCATGTGAGAGGCAACCAATCAATCTTTCTCTCTTTCTCTTACTATCTCTCTCTGTTTCTCTCTTCCTCTTCCCTTCTCTCTAAAATTCACTGAATATATCCTCAGGTGAGGATTTTTTTAAAAAGTCAGTACAGAAAGAGACTCTTTATTCTGTTTTAACAGCCTATCTTCTCTCCGCTAGGAAGCTCTGTTTTTAGAGCTGTTAAAATAACATTAAATTTGCCTATTTTTCTTCTGACCTCACTGGCCTAGAGGAAAGCAAGAGCCCCAAACTGCTCCCTGTCGCCCCCGAACTCACACCCAGAAGAGGAATCATCTTCCTGGGCCACTGGTGTAGAGGTCCTGGTGTCAAACTGAGTTATGTGGCTCTCGAGGGCCATTTCCTGTATCTTCCCTCAAGCTTGACCAGTGCCATCCCCTCACAGGAGATCTAATATCCCACCCTCCCAACATGCAGGTTCTCCAGGCAGAATGTGGGACAGACTGAGTTGTGTGGCTTTATGACAAAGGACATTTTTCCTCTCGTGCCCAACCGGTGCAGAACCTTCCTTCACACCATCAAATCTTGGTCTGTTTGGGCCTGATAAGTTCTGCTGGCCTCACCCTGACAACTCTCTGAGGTCCTGCCCCACCAAAAGGTCTGTAGGTACTGGGCAAGGGACAGCTAGACTTGGTATGCCTTAGGACAGCGGTTCTCAACCTGTGGGTCACGACCCCTTTGGGGGTTGAATGACCCTTTCACAGGGGGTCGCCTAAGACCATCGGAAAACGCATATATAATTACATATTGTTTTTGTGATTAACCACTATGCTTTAATTATGTTTAATTTGTAACAATGAAAATACATCCTGCATATCAGATATTTACATTACAATTCATAACAGTAGCAAAATTACAGTTATGAAGTAGCAACGAAAATAAGTTTATGGTTGGGGGTCACCACAACATGAGGAACTGTATTAAAGGGTCGCAGCATTAGGAAGGTTGAGAACCACTGCCTTAGGACATTTGCTGAGTGGCCTCAGACGCAGCACTGACTCCAGGTTTGAATCTCTATCAGTCTGGTGAATACCACTCACTTCTACCTGGTCACTCACTAAGAACCTATCTCATGCAACTTGAGTATGGCCATAGGTTCTTTTATTAACTGAGCCTAACAGGTAGGCAACTGTTGGATCTTGGGGTTCCTTGGGCCTTTTCCTGCCCTGCCACCATGTATGATGCTGGTGTAAGCTGACCTTGGTGCACACTTTGGCCCCTCCATGCACTTCCAGGCTTAGAAGAGGTAGCCACAAACTGCATACCATTGTAGTTCCAAACAGGTGGCCCAAGACCAGTGTAAGGCCATATCTGACATTGACCTGCACCAGATTCCTTCCCAAAAGGCCCCAGAACCAACACACCTGGTGGTGTGCTGCAGACCACATCAGAGACAGGACCGAATTAGCTCCACAAGCGGCACAGCCAAAGGAGGATCTCAGTGGGAACTAGAAACTGCTAGGATGAATTCCATATCATGTGGTCATCACCCTCACAATAACGCATATACTGTGGTTGGCATCAATCCTCGCTGTCAGCCAGCCTGAGGGTTGGCCCACACATGAAGGGGCCAACAGCAATCACGACTCGACTACAATAGGAAGCCAGCAGCAATCAAACCTCTACAACACCAACATAATCCACAAAAGAGAGCATCATGCTTTGGTGATAAGGGAGACTGTGTCACTTAGCTCCATAGGACACCTACTACACTAGGCTACCATTACAAGACTGGGAGATATAGCAAATCTAGCTAATACTCAGGTTAAATACAGAGTTGGCCAAAATGCGGAAACAGAAACATGCCCCAAATGAAAAAGTGGGAGAAAGCTCCAGAAAAATAAATAAATGGAGGCAAGCAATCTACCTGACACAGAGCTCTAAACAATGGTTATAAGGGTGCTCAAGGAACTTGGGAGAAGAATAGATGAACTCACTGAAAATTTAAAGACATACAAAGCATAAAAGAGGACATAGAACCCATAAAAAAGAACCAGTCAGAATGGAAGAATACAATATCTAAAATGAAGAATATACTAAAGGAATAAACAATAGGTTGAATGAAGTAGAGGACCAAATCAGTGATTTGGAAAAACAAGGTAACAGAAAACACCCAAACAGAGCAGCAAAAAAAATCTTTTAAAATGAGGATAGTTTAAGGGACCTTTGGGACAACATGAAGCATAACAACATCCACATCATAGGGTTACCAGAAGGAGAAGAGAGGAGAACAAGGGATTGAGAACCTATATAAAGAAATAATGACTGAAAACTTACTTAGCCTGGTGAAGGAAAAAGACACACAAGTCCAAGAAGCTCAGAGAGCCCCAGTCAAGATGAACTCAAAGAGGCTCACACTAAGACATAAATAAAATGGCAAAGGTTAAAGAAAAAGAGAATCTTAAAAGCAGCAAAACAGACCATTACCTACATGGGAGATCCCATAAGATTGTCAACTGATTTCTTGACAGAAACATTTCAGGCCAGACGGTATTGGCACAAAATATTCAAAGTGAAGAAAAGCAAGGACCTACAACCAATACTGTTCTACCCAGCAAGGCTAGCATTTAAAATAGTTAAAGAGTATTCTTTAAGAGAAGAAAGAGAAGCATAGTTATAAAGAATAAAATGGCAATAAATTCTTAATAATCACATTAAATGTAAATGGCTCAAATGTTCCAATTAAAAAACATAGGGTATGATTAGAATAGAAAACATAACTGGATTAGAAAGCATGACTCATATATATGCTATCTACAAGAGACCTATCTTAGAATGAAGGATGCACACAGACTAAAAGTATAAAGATGGACAAAGATGTTTCATGCAAATGAACATGAAAAAAAAAGCTGGGGGAACAATACTTATGTGAGACAAAATAGATTTAAAAAAAGGCTATAGTAAGGCAAAGACTGACACTGCATAATGATAAAGGAGTCTAACATAGAAGCACCTTAAATATGTAAAGCAAATATTGATGGATATAAAAGGAGAGATTGACAGTAATAGTTGTAGTAAGGGACTTTAACACCCCATTGACATCTTCCAGTCAGTAAACAAGGAAACAGCAGCCTTCAATGACACACTAGACCAGGTGGATTTAATTAGTATTTTAGAGCATTTCAACCCAAAGCAGCAGAATATACATTGTTTTCAAGTGCACATGTAAAATTTTGTAGTATAGACCACATATTAAGCCACAAACAAACTCAGTGAATTTAAGAAGATTGAAATGTCAAGCATCTTCTCTGATCCCAATGAAATGAAACTAGAAATCAATTACAAGAAAAAACTGGAAAACACACAACATGGAGTCAAAATAACATATTGATAAACAATGAGTGGGTTAACAATGAGATCAAGGAAGAAATCAAAAAGTGTCGTGAGAAGTGAAAATGGGAATACTAGGTGTACCAATTAATGCAGTTTTTTTCAATAGATGGAGTTACGCATATGT